CAACTTACATGTTTTCAACTAAGAGTAGGCACAAGTTGAGAATTCCTTAAAAGTGGGTAAATCTACATTCAGTGTCTGTTGACTTCCGATCTAACTCAAGCTAAGTGTCCTCATTGAAGCTGTGTACTATCACAAACTATTACATAAGTTTACGGAGACGCTTTCACGCCTCTTCTGTTTTTAAACTCTTGTTTGTCTTCAGTCAGTTTTTGAAGTTTTCTCAGTCAAAACAAAAGCAGGTTTTTAAAATGTCATTTCACCTTTTGTTTTCAATGTCAAGACTTAATTGCTCTTGTTCTCACCTTCCTAGGACGTGTTGCTAAGGACAGCAGAACAGCAACCGACAGACCAGGTAAGTGCTTTTACCTGAGGAAACACATGTCTTATGAAAGCTTTGTGTAGTAGTGTACAAGGTGCTGTGAAAGGATAAGATGTGCATTTATCGAATCAAAAGTGAAACGAACAAGTTAAAAATGTAAAGGTAGGCTAGGGGAGCCAAAGTCCCTCTAAAGGTCAACATTAATCATCAACCAGATCTGTCTGTATTATAACTTTGATCACAAGCACCCTGCCATTAATGACACAGTGAAAAGCCAAGACACCACTTATTGCAAAATGATGTCATGGTCCTGTTCAGTCGAAGTCTTAAAGAGTTAAATCTTCCAAGTATATTTCATTATAGTTAGACTGCTGAATATAATAAATAGCTCAGTTTACAGGGTCCAAATGACCATCACAATGAACTAAACTTTTACCTTGATGACATTTGGATGTAGAGCAGACCCAATAAACTTAGAGAATAAAACAAGCAAACATAATGATTTACTTATCAAACAGTCCTGAGTTGCCGCTTCAGCATTAGATGTCTAACCTAGATATTATTAGGGTGTGGTATGGAGGTGTTGCCTCTGTTCTTTTAGCAGCCTGTGCAATCTTTCTCCACCTGTCAACCTGCCATTGAAGCCCCTGAGGACTCTAAGCTGATGTAACAATAGCTGCTTGACCCCAAACCAGCTGCAGCGGAGCAATTCATGCACCTTCATTCATGGACAAAGAAACCTGAAAAACCAAATTCTCCCATGTTTGTGGCAACTTGAATCCTTTCAAATCCAGACTTGCGTGATTATCAAGTCGTGGGATGATTCATTCATGTGTTGTTTTCTACAGCATGCACTGAAAACCTGACAGAGACGGATGCTTTCATCAATAGGTAAACTGTTTTCTTATTTGTGTGTCAGCTGGAAATTCTAATTTCCCTCTGGCCCAGTACTCATGTTTCTCTGTGCTCTTCGTCATAAAAACAATGCAAAACAGCTCTTTAGGTTTGGATCCCACGGAGGAGTACAAGATGAACAACAAAAAAAGAGGTCTCGCACTCATCTTTAACCAGGAGCGCTTCTTTTGGCGCCTGGGTTTAAATGACAGGCATGGAACAAACGCTGACCGCTACAGCTTAGAGAAAAGGTACGACTTCTGAGCGAGAGGGAACAGTATACTTTATGAGTGTGCTCAAGAACTTGTCTCGACTTGTTTACTTAGGACTTTGTAAAATATCTCTGGTAATACATGCCCTGTGCACTTAAACAAATGTTGACTTCTCTCTTCAGGCTGCAGGATCTAAACTTTGAAGTGAAAACTTACGAAAACTACAAACAGGAAGAAGTGCTGGAAAGAATCAATGAAGGTAAGCGCATTCATTACCAGCGTCACATCATTATTACTGAATTCCTTTGTCCTTTTTGCCATCTATATTTTAAACACACACAGAATGTGGCTGTATTGCTCCTGTTTTTTTACTTGCATGTTTAACAAATAGCTGATGTCTCAACAGCTGCAGAGGCCGACCACTCAGATGTAGACTGTTTTTTACTTGTTTTCCTGAGCCATGGTGAAAACGATCATGTGTACACCTACGATGGCAAGATCAGCATTCAGGACATCACATCCCTTTTCAAAGGAGACAGGTGCAGGAGCCTCGTAGGAAAGCCAAAGATCTTCATCTTACAGGTACAAGCAACATAAAGCTAAAACCTGTTGAAATTCAACTGCCTCTTACAGTTGAACCTGTTTTTTTAATGCCTTAAGGCAGCATATGGGACTCTCTTTCTTCACTAGGCATGCCGCGGGACAAGCATGATGATCCAGTGACTGCCTGCGACGCAGTGGACAGCGAGTTAAAGACAAACGAGGTGGTAGTGGACGCCAGCGCTGTGCACACCCTCCCTGCTGGGGCTGATTTCATCATGTGCTACTCTGTGGCTGAAGGTGAGCATGGCAGGATTGATAGACTTTGCAACATCAATTTATTAATTCATTTAGGCTCTCTGGGCTTCTGCCTGTTAGAAAATCAATTAAGAGCCATGCAGGCAAGCTCAGTTACAGCTAGCAGGTTAACTTTACCTGGCTTGCTCACTGATACTATTGCTAGAAAAATACTCCCTAGGTAGGTGTGTTTGTTGTCTAACTTGCCGAGTTACTACACCAACCTACAACATCCATTATATTTATAGGTAGAAAAAAAATGCTTGGTTATGTAAGATGATGCTACTAATTTGGCCCAGGAGTGTTGTGGGTGTGAGAAACAGAAAGCCAAAAAGATTTACAAATACAGATTTAAAAAAAACAAGATCAAATTATTCTAAACATACAAGTCTCTCTAAACGTTTGCTGTTTGTAGGAAACAACTACCCAATTAAGTTTTGCTATGTTTTTCTTTTTAGGGTACTATTCCCACAGGGAGACCATCAACGGCTCCTGGTATGTCCAGGATCTGTGTGAGCTGCTTCAGAAGTACGGGGAGTCTCTTGAATTCACAGAGTTGCTCACGCTGGTCAACAGGAAAGTATCAATGAGGAGCGTTGGCAATAGTAGTGACAAAAGTTCCATCGGGAAGAAACAAGTACCTTGCTTTGCGTCAATGCTGACCAAGAAACTGTACTTTCGGCCAAAAAAGGAGTAGTTAAACCTTTGAAAGAAAAAATAATATCCCAAAACGAGCTGGTTTTATGATCATTATTGATACATTTTAAGAAATTATGATTTTTCTGTCTAGTCCTTTCATGTGTTTTTGCTTATGAACAATACTATTCACATATGCATTGAACAATCAGGTAACTGGTAGCCGTGGAATTACAGAGGTTATAAAATAACAGGAGCAACTTAATACCCATGCACCCAAGAAATATGAATAATCCCACTCTCACACTATTAATTTAATCCTGAAACTTCAACTCTTGTGAAATCATGGTTTCAGTTATCAAATAAAGCTTCTTCTGGAGATAACCAGATTCCCTGGCTGTGATCAAAAACTGGACCATGGCATGACCTGGCTGATGCATCTGCTTTTTGCATTTTCAGCACAGAGAATGAACACAGGGAACATTTCTGTGGCTGATATAAGGTGGAGGGTAGAGGAAAAACTAGTAAAACATCATACATGATCAGATCCTGGTTTGACACGCTTATGTCGTTTCTTGTGATAATGCAAATATCAAGTAGCCCTAATATAATCCAATACATTAACAGCAGTGCAGTACAGGCGGGCTAAGAACAAAACTAAAACACCTACCATACCTAACAAAACCCCAACCCTTTAAGGGAGAGGGTTAGAAAACAGTTGCCCGTTTGTACTATCATTCTTTTATTCCCCTAATAACCAATTGTCACCAGAAGTCAAAGTGCGTCTGGATGACTTTGTATTCAAACTGGAAATGGCTTAAATGTGAATTCTGCTAATTTGTGTTGACTCAAATCAAGACTAATTATTGGGCCCAACATTTTTTTTTTTGTATCAGATTGCATTATGATTTAAGTTCCTCTTATTTTATTACTGTTTTCAGATCCTGTAGAGCCATACACATTTAGCGTTCTTAAAAACTCTACACTGCGCAATAATTAGGGATCACACTGAAATTCTCTTTTTTTTTCACATTTAGCATGCTTCCACTTTAAACTACTTCGATACCAAACCTGCCTGATACTGTCGCTGACTTGTTTCTTAAGAAGCCAAGTAGACTGTAGAAATGGACATCTCCAGCTTTCCACGTGATGTTCATTATCTCTGAGGTTTGTGGAATTATCAAGTACTGTGAATCTAGTTTTTTGGAATGTAATTTGCAGGAACATCTGAAATCCAGACATTTACATTCCTACTAAATGTTTCTTGTGAGGCAGAAGGCAACTACAGAGAAGGGTCCAATATCTCTTTTAAGTGTTCATGATCAAGTCATCATTAAAGATTATCCAGGCACTAAAGACATGCCGTTTGTCTTAAAGCTAACTCCACCAAAAGGGAATTCATGTTTGTGCTGTTCTTTGTGTCTCAGCCACAACACATGAATATGATAAATGCATATTTGCACCAAAAATGGCAACAAAAACCCAAGTGTGGAAAGTACCTCAGGGAGGAGGCGGGGTGTTTGTGAGCTGTACTCTGGAACTAAAACACTTCTAGCTTTGTCGCATGATCTATGACTCAGGAAAAACCAAGATACCAGCATACATTGATGATCCTGTATTTTTGTGGTCTATCCTGTTGTGACTTTTCAAAATAAAAAGTGTCCTTTTATATACTGTAATCATGTGATGTCTTTATTTCACCTGCACCGTCCAAGGTGCACTATGTAGATTTGGTAGTGAAATTTGAAAGTTGGAGAAGTGAAACAATTCTATGCTATAGCTTCTGAACTAAATACACAAACTTCATTCAAAGGAAAAAACGGGTCCCTGGAGCACTGTTTGGAGCTAAAAAGCTACCAGGAGAGTGACTGTTTCACTGTAGTGGACCCAACACTGTAACTTCTAGTATAGCATTTTATCTTCAAACAATGTTGCAGAGACCAAATGTTCCTCTGAAGACAGTTTGTGTATAGAGTTAAGAACATATAGCACAGAATTTGTAAATTTCGCCAACTTTCACATTTCTCTACCAAAACTCCGTAGTGTACTTTCAAGGTCACATAAAATAACGAAATAATAATAATAAGACATCAGGCAGGCGATTCTCTCCATGTATGGGAAATACTTTTTATTCAATAATCCTCTGTGACATAATTGGCATCATTATCAAGACTGTAAAATAAAGAAAAGAATGATATGGATTCCTGGTAAAAAGTTGTCTATCAAAATAAAGAAGGAAATTAACCCCCCCCCACCCGGAGTGTGAAAGTTTTAGTGATCAGTAATCATGGCTTGGCTTTGTTTATGGCTTTGGCTGGATCAGTTCAAGTGGTAGCTGGAGTTGAGTTGGTTCCCTCAGACGTTTCAGGTCCTCCTCCACCTGACACAGAAAACACAGAGCATTCATTACGAAACTGAATCACAAGTATTTAAGGGTCTTGAAACAAGACTCTTTGTAGGCCACCCTCTGGATACTTCACCATTGCCACTATGATGTCAAAATGTGTATTTGTCCAGTGATGTGGTTCATGACTAAATAAATAATCATTCTCAGCTGTAATTAGTGTTAGAGCTATCAGCAAATGCTTACACTCTTAACTATGATGATAACCATGTCAAAAAGAATCCCCACTGAGCACAAGGTGGCACACTGAAAATTAGAATCTCACTGAAATCACTGCTGTTGTAAGTGAAGTTAAAACCTAAAAGAGCTGTTAGCCCTTCTGTAAAATCGTACTCCATTACATAGCTTGTATCTTGAAACATCAAAACCTTAAAAAATAATATCTTTGTGTGATTTGACTTTGATGCAGGAAAGTGAGTGACTGAGATTTTGAGATATTCCATCTTTCACTTTTGCTCAGACGCTTAGAATCCAGAAACTAAATTTTTGTATGTGCGGTTTAGTTTAGCGTTCAGGATAAGAAATGCAGTAGATTGTGACTTTTAAGTGTCTCCCCCTGAGGCAAAGGAAGAAGCTAATTTAAGAAAGCAAAAGGTGAATCAATCAACCAACCTGAGCCAGTTCATCCTTCAGTTCGTTGTATTTGTTCACGTTGAATTTGTTCTTGCTCGCCCCCTTGTAAAAGTATTGCAGGAACTTTCTGTCTTTAACCTCTGTGTAGATATAATCCTGAGGGAAAGAGAAAAAGGGATCGCTATTAATGTGGTACGCAAAAATAAAAATAAAAACTGCACACACGTGAATGACTTTGTACAACTGAGCACCAGGTTCATATTACTGTTACAGGAATAGTTTGAAATGTTTGTAAATACAATAGTTTTGTAATAAGAGTTGGACACAGATTTAAAACTGCTGTCACATCTGTCTGTTAAATATGCAAAAAAAAAAAGATCCAGCAGCTATCTAGCTGACAGCTGAGTAATAAACCTGGAAACAGAAGTTATCTGTGCCTGACGGTTACATAATCCACCTACCAAGAACTCCTTATTAACAACTAATGTCTAATTTGTTTTTGTAAGAGTAGAATTGATCTTCTAATCCTACTATCTGCAAAAAGCTAATGAGTGTATTTGACCAATATATCTCACTGTTTAGTGTATATTTAATCAGTTAGGGTACACATCTGGAAACCAACAGCTCAGAAGTGTCTGTGCTTGGTCCCTTAGACTTGCCTGTTTGGTGAGGACATAATAGGCAAAGGCTCCCATGCTGGTGCCGTATGTGATGAAGTACGTCACAGGCTCCATGACATCCCATGAATAGACCCACCATGTGAGCCACGCCAGAGCACCACCCTGCACAGACAACACGGCCAGGCCGGTCCAGACGACCCTGGAGCTGTGGAACTCTGCCGAACGGGACAGCTGTGCTTTATCTGTCAGGAAACCGATACAAGGAGGGGACGGGTTAAGACGGGTTGTAGGAGCCTGTTCATAAAAGCATCTGCATTTAAACGTTATAAAACACCTTCTCCATAGGGGACAGCTCCTGTTTGAGGTTGTCGAGTCTCTCCAGCAGCTGCCTCTCTGTCAGCAGGTGGTGCTCAGGCAGGTGGAGAGCCGTGTGCAGTAGATGCACAACGTGCTTCATGTCCTCCAGTCCCATGCTGTGCTCACTGGACGTACACGCTGCAGCAGTGAGTAACAACAAGGTGGAGGAGGATAAAAAACAAAAGTGAGATGAGTCATGGCTGGAGAAACAACTAGTTCTTTTACACAAGCAGGGCTTAGTTGTCATTCCTCAGTAGACAAAATGAGAACCATTGATGACTGAAAAGAAATGAGTGTGTACCCTTTTCAGGACAGCAGACATTAAAAACAGTATCATTGATGACCAGCTTGAAGTCTTTGTCCAGCAAGGCGTCTATCAGAGTTGTGTTGGCGACACACTCGTCATCTGTTGGAATAGGAAAGATGTCCAACTCAGTCCTTTTACTGCAATCACATAACTCAAGAATGTTTCTGACAGAATGCCCAAATAAACACGAGGTAGTCAATCATTTGCAGCCTAAACAAAGTTTCTCATGAGACACATCAGGAAATTACGAAGGGATTCAAAATTGTGTAATAAAAAATGTGTGTATCTCAGTGCTGATATGGAGTTCTATTCCCTGAAATGATAGAAATCTACCTGACAACCTGCTTGTTTGTGCAGCTCTGGCTGATCTAGATGGACTGAGCGATTTCTTACAGAAGCAGATTTTTCCAGTGGGGGTGATGTGAGTCACATATTAATTACATTGTACTGCAGGACTGTTGCATTATGGGTCATTGGGGAGATTGCAAATGCCTTGGAGGTAACAACAACGTCCCGTTATGTGATTTACAATTGGACTGTAAATGACATAAAGGAAACAATCGCAGAGAGAAGATTTTGTTCCATTTTCAAACTGGTGGTCGTCAGCCCAAGATGACAATCATTCAAGCTGTGGGGCAATTTTCCAAACTGCACACGGCTCCCTCCAGAGCCACAAAAAGCTTTACAGAACTTGTTTTTTTTCCAGCTATGAGGCATTACAGACTCTGATGTACAATAATGGAGTTCCCTTTAGAGTCATAACCTGTGTGAAAGTACACACTGCGCTGTATGTTACGGGATAGCAGATCAGAATGACTCATAAACATTGACCTTTGTATTACAAAAGAAATATTTGGAGATTCCAACCCGACTTTAATGAATCTCTCTCTATTCCAAGGGGGGGAAACTTTGGGGGGGATTCTATAATAATACAGCTGGTGATAATTAGTTTATTAGATTAGATTATTAGAGTTAACCATTTGTTTTCCTTTTTTTCAGCTTTCAGTAGTAGGAAACAACCTGCCATACCAGGTTGAGACAAAAACGGTTAAACCTGAAAAACCGAAGCTGAAGAATGTTGACAAGCTGGTGCCTGCATATTTGGCACGTGTGTCATGTCCCACCCTTGGATAAAACGGAGGCAGTGACTCCGGGGTCCTCTCTCTGCAGATCTGTGATCAGGTCTCCTACACTCATCAGCATGGGCCGCAGGTAGAACAGGCAATTCTCATTCCTGGAGGGCAACGGGACCTCCAGAACCAAGCGGCCATATTTATAACTCAAGGAAACATCTGCAACACAGAAAGTTGGAAATATATTTTTATATGGTTGAGATTGAGTGCATTTGTTAAGAGCTTTGTGTATATCATGTCAGGCTTATTATTTTTATTATTATTATTATTATTATTATATATTGTAGCTGTAGTGCATGTAAATTACCACAGGAGGGCGGGAGTGTACTGTAGAAAAGAGCTCGGCAACTTCCAAGGGAAGGCGGCCTCTGCTGAACCTTAAAAAGGAAAATATGAAAGAAAATAGAAAGACCAAAAGGAGGGGAGAGAGAGAGAGAGAGAAAGAAAGAGAATAAAGAAGATGAGTACTGGCAGAGTAATGCGTTTGTAATCCGTTCTTCAAAGTTCATCCCGCCCTTTGTAAACTGTCATGTCAGCTGACACTGGACTGTAAACAGATCGGGAGCATCCTGAAAGAAAAAAAAAAACCCACACAGACTGTCAACAAGCTACATAACTTGAATTTGGCCATTGGCTCTGCTCTGAGATTGCGTTCACCCTATAATAAATCTCTGTGGCATTTTTGGCATTTGAACCCTTATTTCACTCCATTTGTAAGTGTTGTGTAGAAACCCAACCAGCTGTTAGTATAGATTGCTCTGATGACACCATCTCTCCTTTCAGCAGATGAACGCCTCTTCATTAGGTTAATTACATTTTGGTCTGCAGCCATTTCTTAATGCCTAATGAAACGTCAATGAGTCTCTCAATAAAATGTATAATCACTCTGCAAGTCTTCCCAACACTGTTCTGATAATAGAGCGGACAACTTAAAGGATAGCACATTAATGTTCTAGTCAATCAGAAAACTAATTTTCTCTGAACTAGATTTAATCTTTGGTATTTAGTTAACATGCAGACTCACATTTCTTATTCATTTGTATGCCACATGAACGTGCAACAAAACAGCAATTTTAGCACAAAGTCACAACCAGAACAAGGTTTTCTGTCAGCTTAATTCCCCGCTGTAACCTTAACAACCACATGGTGACATCTAAATGTTCAGTGATCTTTAATGAAGTTATATCAACACACGAGTTTCCTCTGACTGACATCTAGGGGACGTGGCAGCAACTCTCAGCCTCCCCCCCCTGTTGTCATCTGGGAGTTTGCTCAATCAATATCACATTAAAGAGCAGGACCAAAGGAGCTGTCAAGATTCATGGGCTGGGAAAGCAAACAAACCTCGAGGCATGGTGATGGAGCTGAGGTCCATCACACTCACACACTGGTCAGGAGATAGAGCTTTAACAGGAAAACCTAAATTCACCTTGAGCGTCCCCCATGACCTGCAGCTTTTGTATGAGGCACTGTAAACCACAAAGACATCAGCGCAGAACAGATAACAGCTGCTAGAGCCAGGAGGTGAAGCATCATAAGGGCAGCTTGTTTTCATACAAGTTTGAACTAGAAGTGTTTGTCATATTGCTGATGAAGTAGAGCACCTTACTGCAAAGGAAAATTCGCTTTTAGACTCTTGGCTTAAAGCAAAATGTAATCCAAATGAGTCAACCTTGAGCTGTTCAGCCTCTGTGAGATCTCAAGTGATATTAAATGGTTAAAAATGTTTTTTTTTCTTCTCTGTTTTGAAAGCACTATATGTGGTGATACATATAGAGCAGTAAGGAGTGGGCGGTATGGATGGGAGCCTCTACAGCTGTGGATGCTTTGCTTTAAATTTCGATGAAGGAAATCTTCCGGAAAAAACATTTTAAAAAGCTGTTGGATGGATTCTGTATACTACAACAAACTAAATACCTGACAGTCAAGTTACCCCACCATCACAATAATTCACAAAATCGCCAAACAAAGAAGCTGCAGAAAAGCTTTTATGATTTGCAGAATAGGCTACAATAGTGTCAAACAGTAGTTCCTAACATGAGGGTTGGAACTACAGGAAGTACTATTAACTTGAAACCCCTTTATCTATTTCATCACCTTCAGCTGTAAGCGAAAGTTTGCAAGCACTCTGCTTCGTTTTCTGTTCTTTTCTGTATTAAGATGATCTACTTTTTTGTTTTTATTGTAGATGATGGCAAAAGAGAGACAGTTAATATGGGGAAGGAATTGTTGGGATGCCTCTGTTATTGGGCACGTAATCTATTGACTGATCTATACCTAGACCCTAAAACAGATTCATTCTAAGGGTTCACAAGGCCAACAAAGGTACAACCTGATAAATAAAGGAATATCTTTCGTCAATTGTTTCGTCAAATCTTACAGTCTTCATATTACACATCCATAGTAAAGCTGCAAATGCGTATGATGCTGTTTCTGAGACCTGAAAAAAGAGTAATACTGTGACTTCTCACAGTTAACCTCAGACAGCAAACACATTACCATTCTGCTAAACAGCCTGGAGCAGCATTTATAGGCCACCCACTGCTCTAACTATAGTGGGTCATGAAACTGAGTGCTGGAGCTGAGTGCCATCACATACAGCAAGTGCATGGGAATAAAATGAAAATGTATACAATGCTGCTCCTTAGCACACCCTTAAAGTCACAACAGTTTAAAAAGGATTGAGTGGAGAAACATCTGAGCGCTCACTTCAAGGGTGAGGCTGGACTATTTGTCTCCTCTGCGTGAGGTTATTGACCGGAGTCAATCCAACAGCTGAGTGACTCCGGACCGTTTCTGTGCTGTGTGCACACAAACCATTCCCTCTCTCAATCAACTGAATGTGGCCACTGTGGCATGTAATGCTTCTCGAGAACTGTGTGATGAGTGAAAGTCCATTTCCAAAGTCATGCTCCTCGCCCCTACGCCCTTTGATATTGCTGTCTGCAGCACACTGGACTACAACAGCTGAACGTTTGGCTTCTGCTGCCTACAATGACAGTTACAAATGCACAGACGAAAAACACACAAAGCAGAACATTCGCATTACAGAAAAATGTGATGATCTATATCTGAAGCGAATTCAATCCACAAATTTTAGAATGTAAGTGTCAGATGACCACTCAACAACAGACTACAAGTTGTGAAAGAGCCCTCTGGTTTCATCACACTTAATAGCCAACACATGAGTAATAGGTGCAATAATGTTTTTTTTATATGCCTTCTGGGACTCATGCTGCTCTAATTGCACGACAGAGTCATTTGCTATTAACAAGATTGTACACAGCCATGCTAGCAGCTTTGCAAAGTTGTATTCACAGTAGTGCTTTGAGCTCAATGTCAACATTAACAGCGAAGAATGCTCAAATTACAGACAATACTATAAGGATTAGCAGGTGGTGTTTACATTGGTAACCATCTTAAGAGTTTTAGATCACAGACATCGCAAATTAGCTAGTAAGGCTACTCTCAATTGCATTGTTATTTGCAGGTATTTTTCAACAAATTAAATAGGAGAAAAACTACAAATTCAGACCTAAAGATGGTGCTAATTTTCAAGCGAGATGATCACCAAAGTCAGTCATCATCTGGGAACATGAATAAGGTTTTTGTAGTACATGTTATAGTTGTTGAGATATTTCATACAAAAACAGAAATATCAAACACACATGGATACAAATGGAAAAGTCAGGGGATCACAAAGCTTATTTGGCCTAACCCTCTGGGGACCATGAATGCCTCTTCAAAATGTCATGTTAATCCAAACAATGTTCATGTAAATATGTCAGCTGGACTACAGTAATGGACAGAGCAAGAGCACTGTGGCTAACATGAAAGGAAGTATGATAAAACAGAAACGTTGTTTGTTATCTATCTCTTTCTATAACTGATTTATTTTTGCATTGGTGAATGGAACAAGTGGAACAAGGGCTAACGAAGATAAGCGTCAAAGAAATTTACTCAAATAATTTAAAGGTTAGGGGTTAAGGAACTTTGCAATATGGAAGTATTAAGTCAGTTGTTAAGCACTGTAACAGGACTCAAGTCAATTGTCTTTAAGATAAATTCATGTCAATATACCGTATGAAATGTCATACAATCTGAGCAGTTTCTGTATTGCAAATCAAATGGTCTAACCTCAGCACTTTATCTGACCCTTTCATTGAGGAAACACCCATGAAGAGAGGACACACCCATAGATTATTAAAACACAACAAAAGATTGTGAAAAAAAAAAGAAAAAAAAATTCAAGGTTAAAGACGACATGCCTGAACAGGCCCACACACAGCAAACAGTAATCACACCCATGCCTTGTGACAAGGCAGGCATACAGCCTGCAGAAAAGAGTGCGGTGTATTTCTCAACGTGATCACAAACTAAACCATTGGCTCCTCTATTGCTTATTGTGCTCTTATCAAAACAAAAAAAAAGGGAAATAAGACACTGCACAGCCGCTCGTCTACATTGAATTATTTTGCCCAGTTCTTCCTCAAAACAATCAGCTGAGGGTATATTTACGCCTTCAGCTATATGCCTCTTTTATTTATGCCATGGGAGAGATGGAAGACGTGGCATGAAAAAAAACCAGCAATGCGATGACTAACTGCTACGTCCCTCCTCTGCAATGAAGCATACTGGGGCTTCCTGCTCAAGCAAAAGCAATGAACAGGGTTATCATGGTGACAGACAGCCTCGTTTGCCCTGTAGGCTCTCAGCTGGGCGTTCAATTATGAATCCTGTCAAATGTGAGCTATGGCCTGTTGAATCCGTGCTTCCTAAAGGTATGTGCTCCCACTCTTCTCAACGGTTGGATACCACTAAACGGGGGGCAAGGGATGTTTCCACAGACACACACCCACTTTCATAATGTGGTGACTTACACTATCTCGTGGGCATGACTTGAAGAAGAAGGAGAGGAATATGTGTGAGCGATGAACAGCCTTAAAGCCAGGGTGACAAATGCAGGCTGCCAAGAGGAGAAATTGAAATGACTCCCCTTTGCCATTGTGACATAGAACAGCAAGCACTGTACCATAAAACATGATTTGAAGCATTTGTCTTACTTTCATCAGTCAGTGATCCATCAAATTAGGAGAGAAAAAAATGCAGTGACAGCAACGGGAAAGACAAGGTCTCCGTTTGCATGGCACCAACCTTACCTAAAGACAGTATGTGAAAAAGCCACAACATGTAATCCAAAAGATTCCTTTCTTACACTGGTATGAATTATTTCATTTTTGTCCATCACAACCTCTTAACGTTGCCTTCAGTGCTATCTTCTGCCAAGCTCGTTCTCTGTTGACACAGTCTTCATAGTCAATGACTAAATCATTTAACCAAAACAAAATGATCCCCTTCCCAGACCTTGTTCAGTAGT